TGGTACAGGTGACAATATTAGAAAAGTACTTTTTTTGCTGGGGGCGGGGGGTAGAGCACTGTGGGACTTAGTCTGTGTTATCCAATTCAGTAGCCGCTACACACTCATGACTATTTAAATTTCAACAATTAAAAGTCAATAAAACCTTAAAATGGAATTCTTCAGTTGCATTTGCTGCATTTCAAGAGCTCATTAGCCACATGTGGGTACTGACTACCATTTTGGACAGCACAGACCTAGAATATTTCCATCATTGTAAAAAAAAAACAGTTAAAAGGTGCTGGAATACATAGTTTTGATAGACTTAAGAAATGAATCACATTTTAAAACCAAGGTTTTTTTTACTTTCTCTTATACCAAAGTTTTTTGCATGTGTACCTACCAATTTGATCTTGAATTTATTTACAGATTTTAAATAAATGTAAGGCATTTAGAGCTATATAACTTTGAGTTTCAAGGGCATCTTATAATAACTTTTTAATTTCCCTTCTGCTATACTGAAATAGATCTAGAGAAGGCACCAATTTAACCTTGTTAAGGCAGATGTCCAATCAATATGTTGTCAAAGGAAAGGGACTCAGCACTCTTTTTGATAGCTGGCTTCAGCAATAATAAAGTCCTTTGCATTTCTTTTCAAATACATCCTTCATTGGACAGCTTCCCAAGTCATTTGTCTAGACTTTCACCCTGAAAACTCATGATATTGACACTTTTCTCCTGAATATGTAGATGTGTAGGCATTTTGAATATATGGATATAATAACAGCATGTCAAATGAGCTCAATTCCACTTACTCTTGGCAAATAAATTAGATGCAGGAGAGTCTTTTCCATTATTATTAAAGGCAGACATTTTCTCCAAGGCTGTGAGAAGCTGTTTCTCTTGCTGCCTAAGCAGTTTCAACTGCAAAAGCCATTTGCCACCATATAGATCCCTCCGGGAGATTTCAACTAGAGTAAAAAGGGAAATCCCATCACATGGGGACTCCGGGGCTTTATGGCAGATAGGGGTAGATTTGTTGGGCATTAATTATGGAAAACAAGCCTACAGCTTGTCCTAGTCCCCTTCCGAGGATTGTGTATCACCCAGCAGACAGCATTCACTGTGCAGTGACTGAAAAGAGCTCTCTGGGAACCGAGAAGGGAATGACGGTGGAGACAAGCACTGTGGCAGGATCTCTGGGCTATTAATGCCAGTTTCCTCAGGCCAAGGTAAGAGCAGGCTGAGATTGTACTGGGATGGAAGATTCTTCAAGATGAACGTTACTAATCTCAAACGAAACTTTGCCAAAGAGCTCTTAGATAGGAATGAGATCTCTGACAACTGCAGAAGAACATGTGATGAGGCAAATGCATCATAAAGTGTGAAAGGATTGAAGTGACCTTCTAAGGACAACTGGGAGCCTTGGACCAATGAACAAAAGTCGCACATTAACAATGATTCTTCTCTCTTTCACTCCAAATGTTACATCAACACGAGACAAATGTCATTCTTAAGATAATCTTTCTTCATACCTCAGCTTTTTGCTGAGGAATTACCCAATCACTAAAATCAAGTTCAATTACCTTTTAAAAAGAAAGCTATTAAATGTGTTTTGTAAAAGCAACAGCATATACTCTATAAATACACTTAGAAATGGACCAATAATTCGTTTGATTTTTAGAGGTTTTGTCACCCTCAGTTAATATGTTATCAAATAGCATTTGCTTGCATTGTTATGTTTTCATAAATATTTATGGGTTATTTAATATGTCATCTAAAAGAAATCATGTATTGATATTCTTGAAAAGAGTTACTTGAAACATTGTGGTAGATCAGAGGTCAATAGGAAATGCAGCAAAATCTGACTCAAATGTACTTGATTGATATGACAAAGTAATCAACTTAAAGTCCAGAATTACTAGGTCAATGAGAAGAAAAACCTTACTGAGAAATTCTTAGTATAATATTAACATTCTATCATAATAATTTTCTAAAGTAAAGATGTAGATTTTATTCACAGTTCAGTATCATAGAAATTAACCCAGCTAACAGATATAAGCATTTAATAGTTTTCCTGGGCTGGAGCATGACCTTGAGGAAGTCACTTGATTTCCCTAGTTTTAAAAAATTGGCTCTTAAAGATGAAGTATAAAGATGTCATAGTGAGGAGATAAGCATTTTGGGGTAAGTTATGTTCTAAGCAGAGTATATTCAACAGCATTTATTACGATATTGGAAAGCACTACCGTACAACAGAGAACAGGAGTTAAGCAAAGATTCAAGTCCAGACAGTAGCCTGGCCTGTTTCTTTTTCTCTGGAAAGTATCCATATCTAGAATCACTATCGGCCCCCTCAAGACCCTCATGTATGGTGTATGCCAAACAGGATGTAGCGTTTTAACATTATTTTTGGAAAAATAACTGATTTACATAGCAATTGTCATAGAACCTCCATAAAATTTTATGGATCTTTACTTCTTGAAAGTGAAAAAATAAAACATAGTGTAATGGAAACACGTGTTTGAATGTTTGGGTTTTAAATCCTGTCTGCCAGCGGTGTAACAAAAGCGAGTCCTTTTACCTGCAGAAGCCTCCATTTCCTTATCTGAAAACTGAAGAATTTGGATTTGACTGCCACTGAAATACCCACAGCCACCCAAGCAGCTGAAGACAAAGATATGAGATGCTGGGACTCCTTGTTGGGGTGCTGCCGGCTGTGATAAATGGATAGTGCCAGTTCATATGGGGGACAGTCAGCAACAGTCAATTGTGTCCAAGTGAGAATGCAGGTCCTCTATTGCCATATCATCTGATTGTTCAAGAAAATACAGAAATTCTGATTTTTATGTCAAATATGATGATTTTTACATGTTGGGAACTAACTTAAAACAGAAAAAATAAAAAAAGACTACTCTAAACACCAAGCTACAATCATGTGCGGGTGGGAATGTGACCTGTGTCCGCCACCCTGGGCCCTCTGATTGGAAGCCTCTAGGCTCTCCCTGCTGTGTGCTTCTGCTGGAAGGGTCATCCCGGGGCCACAGAGCACCAACTCCGCACAACTCTAATCAATCTTCTTTTCGTGTGGTTTCATTAGCATATGGATACAGTAGGGAATTAGAGCCACCACAGATAGTGGAATGGACGCACTTTTACAGAAAGACAGCACATAAAATAAATGCTCTGCGTGCGTGGGGATTTTGATGAAATGGTAGAGCTGCAGTGTGGTCAATGAGGCCACAATGCACAGCAGCCGGAAGCTCAGCTTGTAGCCGTTCTCCCCCCGACAACTCCTGAGAAACATCTCCGAGTTGATTGCAAAGCCCAGGCCAAAGAGGACCCCAAGGTTTCTCACTAGTCCAGCAAAAGGCGTGGTGTCAATGTGGATCCAGTCGGGGTTGGCACACCACTTCTTGGCTATGGGCACCGACCACAGCAGGTCAATATCAAGCAGCCTGAGAAGCAGGTAAAAGCCGAGTGCAAACAAGAAGAGGAAGAGGTTGGTCTTTAGGTATGTGCTCAGGCTGGCCGTCTGGATGCCTGGGGTGTGTTCAAAGGCCTCTGCCACAAGCATACCTGGGGATTAGAAAGAGACACCAAAAGTGACTATGTAACCCTGAGCCCCGACCCCCCAAAATCAGTTCTCTCTGCATTAAAAAGTGTAGCTATAGTTTTCATGATGAAGGGTTTTCAACCCCTAGATTCTATCCATTTTTCAAAGCTTTTTTTTTTTGTTATTTATTTATTTTTTAAGGAAGCAACTAAAACACACCCTTGCCTCATGGCCTTTTTGCCACTTGTATTATGACAGGGGGATCTTTCAGGAATCCATGGCACGGAGTGACAACCCTTTTTATAGGCAGAGCACTGATTTAGGTGCTTGCAATTAGTATGTCAATTGCATAGCCAATTAATTTAGAGAGCCTTTGTAAAGCATGTGAGGCTGAATGGCGAAACTCAATCATGGTGAATGTCGCTTCAGGAATACAAAGCAGCTGCTACATGAATTCCATAGTCATGTAATAATCACATCAGGTGTTTTTGGAGAGCCTGGCATGGCGTGCAGGTTGGAGTGCCATTATTAAGCCTCCCAAACCAAGACACAAGCAGGCTGTCTGAAGTGGCGGTTTGGGAGTTGGACTTAGTTCTAGTCACACTTCAGAGAAGCCCATCTCACTAAGAGGTTAACGTTTCTGCCATTTAAGTGAGACTGCGCCATTGTGTACACGGGGGATTTGAGAGGTATGTTGAACCACTTAAGCTCCCAGGGTAGCATTAAGTATCAGTGGCTTGGCAGAATTACCTGAAAATGGAGAGCTGATTACCAGGGAGAATCTGACAACATAAAACAAAGCTTTCAAATGACACTAAAGCTTTTAAATGACACAACCAAAGGTAAGTGATCATATTTACCACCAATTACTCCAAGAATAACTTGATGAGGAAAATGTGTTGCTATGAATACTCTGGAGATGCAGACACTGATTTGAATCAACCAAAAAAGACTCCAAAGAAATGACCAGGTCAGTCTACGATGGAAGAATAGATACAAGCGTAAAAAGCAAAGAAATTGTATCACTCATAAAATTGGGGGGGGGTGACCCCAGATGACCTTTCTCCGAGGGATTGTCTAGCTGTGACATAAAATCATGATTCTCGAGTCTTGTTTCTAAAATGTTTCCATGTGCTCCATAGGATGTGAAAAGCTTTAACAGAGGCTTCTACATTTATCAATGCATTAAACTTACCAGTGCTATATGCTGAGATTTTAATAAATGCTACAAAAGAAACCCAATTTGATATCCTAATAATTACTTTAATAGAATAGGAAAAAATTCAAGTTTGGGGGAATTACTAATATCCAGAATGATCAAGAATGAAATGTATCTATTTTTACTCCTTGTTACACGTGCTTCCTCTTTACTCTCCTCTCTCAACCTTTCTTTGCTTGAGGAAACTCACTGGAGAGGAAGCTGCCACTCTGATGAAAAGTACGTGAGCATTTTATCAAGGACAACTTTTCACTGTGCTTAATTTCAGACTCTCAAAAGAGTCCTGATTCCTTGGTTCTTAAGGTATAGGAAACAAGGAGCAAAGAAATTGACCTATAGGTTATATACTTGAGATTAGAAACAGCAATGTACAAAAACTTATAAAATATTAAAATCTAAGCAATGCCTGTTATTTTAAACTAACGATATTGAATTTTAAGATTCCTTGGGGGTTCTGAGTGGTTTGTTCCTGATAATCAGACCAAACTTTGGTTATTGAACAACTAAGAAATAGAGAGAAATGAGACTTCCAAAGAGGAAGTAAGCAGAGGTTTCCACATGGAAGAAGAATAAACAAGGATTTGGTAGTATTAAGGTAAGAAGTAGGTACTAAACACATTTTGATGGATGAAGAAATGTTGAAGTTATAAGAATCAAAAAAGAATTATGAGAATTTTTTTTTTTAAAGAAACAACTATTTTTCCAGGTTTGGAAACTGGAAGAAGAAATGAGCTATAGAGAAAAGGTAAGGCTTATATTTAGATTCCTACTTTGAAAAATTGTCTGTAGATAGAAAATGTTAATTCCTTTAAATTACAACAACTTTTTACTGTTGTTGTTTTGGATAATGAATAAATAAGTCATACAGGTCATAGTCTGTCTTATTAGAATAAACTTTAAATATGCCCAAATTCATTTGCTTATTTGTTTTTTATATTATCTAATACTACTCTCAAAAGTGGAATATATGAAGGATGTTGAAAATTTTTCATTTTAAATGAACTTTATATAATGGTATATGTTATAGTATTTTTTAAGCAAATAACTGAAAATCTTATCTCAGGTAGTTTATGAGTAAAGTGGTGCTCAGTATTGTTTTAATGATAGTTAAAGTATTACAGGGGAGAAGGAAATAGCCCAATTCTTACAAAAATTTTGAGTAATCTTAAAGTTCTAGGTATTTCTGAACATTACAAATCTACAAACGTTAAATCTACTAACATTTAAATTAAGTTTGCCTCTAGAATGCTTTTAATTAAAAAGGTTGCAAAGTTTTTAAAGCTAGACTATGTTATTTATGTAAAAAACATTGGCTAGTCAAAGAAAGAAGCATAATTATCCTAATTTAATTGATGCATTCAAGGGTAATGATGATTCTTAAAGTTTCTAATTAATCTTAAAGCAAGGGAATGCACTGCAAAATTATTTCCTTACATATAGATAACTTATTTATAAGCTACCAAAATGATTATTGTATTATGGAAGCCCAAAGGCAATTTTAGCAAATCATTAATCAGTTAAACATTTCCAACCCTATAATGTGGCAATAACTGTGAGTTAATTAGGACATTATCTTAAAGCAAAATATTTATTTTCTATTTATTTTGTTATTTTGGTTATGATGGAATAGACTAAGCGCATTTCAAGAACTAAAAATATACTAAAATGAATTTTTAAAAGGACTTTTCTGTATTCAAAGCTGTTATGTTCCAGTGCTGCAGGAACTGGAGCAAAGCTGACCTGTGCAGAGTGGTAGATGGCTTATCCATCCCACTGACAGTGTGGCTCAGGGCAGCGGTTACCATGACATACCAGACACACGATGAGCCCATTGCATGGCCAGATGGACTTCCTGAAAAAACAAACCGTCGATCCATTCAGTGGTGAACAGAATATCAACATCAGAAATGGACAGTAGAATAGCATATTAGCCATAAAAATTACAAATAACTCAGAAATAAACCACAGGTCACAGGCTCTATGTAATGACTAGACATAGGTAGAAATAAAGAAAACTTGAGTTAAATTGAGCCTCAAGACACTACATTTTTTCCCCCCAGAGTTTTCAAGTTCATCAAATTCCAGAAATTAAAATGTTCAAGGCTAATTAAGAACTCAGGGTGTTGTACCAACATCTGCCAATATCTCTCTACTCATTCTTTATATCTAATTGTTTCTAATTGATGAGAAAATTAAAGTACTTGTATCGGATCTTGAATCAGTTTATTTTCCTTGAGCTGAAATGTCAAAGATCTAAAGGATATTATTGCTATGTCTGCTTTACCAGTTGACTGCTACACACTGGTAGCTACCCCTATGCCTGTCTTGTGGGCAGCCGTTCCAGTGAGAGTCTTTATTATGAAATGCCTGAGTAGAAGCTGTGAAGGGGACATCAATCCTACCAGAAGAAGCCTGCAGACAGGCAGCCTTTCTACTCCCAGAATGTCTTTCCCAGGCAGCTTGATTTTTTTTTTTAAATCACTTTACTTTGATATTCTCCCTGAGTCTTTACCAAGTGGTGATTTATTCAGGTCAAACACCAGCCTCTTTTTGAAAGACACTAAGTTAAACAAAACAAAGACAAATCTATTTCTTTCAAATCTAT